AGTTTATTGATTCTGTTGATTCACCCGTAATTTTTTTCTTTTAATTTTATATTACAAGTTGAGTTGTATCAATTATAAATTATATTCTTGTGATTTACGTTTTTAATTTCATTTCTAATATTTGTTCTTCTTTTAAATATAAATGTTCAGAGAATTCAGTGGTAACTGAATTTCGTAGTAAGGGAGCACGAAAGATTAATAATTTAACAGAAAATTCATGCACTGAACAACATAAAGAAAAAAAAAGTCAAAACAAACAATATGGTGAGAATCGTACTATAATATTTCATTTTATTACTCTTTGTTTTGTTATATTTGTTATGGTAAAATTAGTTGAAAAAATGTAGTATTAATATATATTTGAATATTAAATATTAAATAAATGGTGTAATTTAAAGGGTGCCTGAATATTCATTACTTGAAACAATTTAATGTTATTTTTGTCATTGTTCAATTGTGAAATTACAAAAATTATAACGGTTATCATGCAACGCACGATCCATACTAGTTTTAATTAAGAAGTGGAAAATCATCTCATTCCAATGAATAATCTCAATTCATATCATACATATTTAAGTGGTTTTTATAATCACATTTTAAGCTTAACCAAGATATTATTTATACAATTAAACCCTATTTGTCTACCATTAAAGTAAAAAAAAAAGTTTCGGAATAAATAATTTTTTAAGAATGTATAGTTAAAAAGTAGAAAAATATTTTGAGTTTACATGCAAAATATTTTATTGTAAGAATGTATGATTGAAAAGAAGTTTTGAGAAAAAAAGTGTTAAAATAATGATAGACAAACAATGGCTTAATTTTGAAAGGGGCTTCCATATTACTGCAGGACCTCATCCGGACTATAGAAATAGTCCTACATTTCAAGCAAAAGGAAATAAACAAGAAAGGTGTAGATTTGACTCAAAGCTTCATTCAAAGTAAAAGGAAAGGAAATGAATAATGAAAAGGGAAGCAAATAGGATTCTTGGGGTTCCAGTAAGTGGCCAAAAGGAATTACCTCTCTTAGCAATAATGGGATTTCTTCTTAGAATAGAAGAAAGGTAATTGACATTGATGCTACAGAATCTACAGAGATTGAGTCAGCTTCACATCATCTCTAGAGGGGCTTGTTCTTGAATACCTGCAAGTTAATCAGATCCCGGCGTACTCATCTTTAGAGATCCTACTGGTTAATACCACTTGCACCTCAGACTATATGGAATCTCTTGATAAGGAGAGTCAACCAATAAAAGTTTAGCCACTAAGATGAAACTTTGACTAACATTGTTATTAACCCATTTTCGAAATTAGAACAAATAAAATTTTCAAGCTTATTTCATGTAATCTAAATATTGAATCGCCTCATTTAAAAACTTCAAGTGATAATAGAGAGTGGACAATTTCATTTATTCAAATTTACATTCAACATGCCGACCCATATGCAGACCTGATTTTTTAGTAAAGGACGAAAATTGCACAATTTTCATAAATAAGAGGCAACAACACTTATTTGTTCCGATACTATGTTAAACAACTCAGGATCTGTATTCCCAGATTTAATGTGGTATAAGTAATCTATTGTGTTACTTCAAAGTGACAACATTATCATCTAAAGTGCTAAAGACAATGCTTTGCTTGGAAATCTTTATCGAAGATCAAACCATTGATAAGATTTTTAAGCCTTTGAGCACCATAACCTGGTCTAAATGCAGTCACATTTGGAAGAAAGTAATGCTCAGAAGTTCTATTCGTGTCCTGTCTGTGTCCATCAAACCAACTGCCTGGAACGAACCCATCAGCTTCGCGTCCTAGAAGTTCAGAATCGATCTTGTCTAGAATAGCTACATTCCTGCCAAATTTTCTTGCGAATGGGGCATTGCTGTCGACCATTCTCTGATAATCATTGTCTGTGAGGAAACGTGGATGCTGCTTCGGAGGGTTGTCCCACGAGATGAAATGGAGGTCGTGGTTCACAGTTGTGTTTTGAAATTCTTCAGCATTGCATATGACCGTGTGAAAGTAGCCTTCAGGTGATGAAAGAAAGTTGGCATAATACATTAACACAGTCCTCGGGAGGTTGTCCCAACCCCATAAACAGAACTCTATGAAGGGTCGAGAAAGCATCATCCAAGCAGAGCCTGTGTAGAAAACGCAAAAGAGACAAAAGTCATTTAGCCCCTGTTTGACAAACATTATTTCAAAATTCTTTAATTCTTGTACTCATTTTCCAAAAAATTACTATTCAAAACTCTATTTTCTCTAAATAATGGCCATCAAACTGGGGCTTAGTATTTCGCAATAACATAGACATTTGATTTGAAACATTCAATGGATATTTAAATAATTCTCCCTACAATTTCTCTTCCAAATTCTGAAATTAACTTGTAGAGAAGTAAGTTTGAGAATCATTAAGAGTTTTAAGTTTTCGATGTACAAACAGAAATTACAGTGCAGATTGATTATAAAGGACATATGCAAATGCAAAGGACCTAAAAAGCCATACTTCGACTAAATTTGACTTGTGTTCTCTGTTAGGTTTATATTTTGTATTGACGATTCTGTGAAATAATTGACCAACTTGAACATTTATAAAAGATGAGGGTCTAAATTGTAAAGTTTCATAGTTGGTAAGATT